GAATAATCTGATTTCAAGACAGATGTTTTTATGAAACCTATACAGGGATCAAGGCTGTGTGGTATTGTCAGCAGGGCAGATTCACAGAACAATGCAACAAGAGAATCTAGAAAACAGACCTACACAAATATGCTAAACTGATTTTTGACAAAGGTACAAAAGCAATTCAATACAGGAAAGAAAGCCTTATAGCAAATGGTCCTGGAGCAATTGGCATCGATAGGCAGATCAACCAGCTAAAAAACAAAACAAACCAAAACAAACAAGTCCACTCAAGTTCCACATCTTATTAAAATTAAACTGATCAACTGACCATGAACTTAAAGGCACAACGTAAAAACTATAATGCTTTTAAAGTAAATATACAGGGGAAGATCTTGGGAATCTAGAGCCAGGCAAGAAGATCTTCACCTTGACAACACAAGTCCAACCCATAAAAGGAAAACCTGATAATGAATTTGACAAATTTGACTCCTAGAAATTTAAAACTCGCCCCGTGAAGAACCCTGTTAAGAAAGTAAAAAGACAAGCTAAACTAGCTACAAAAGGAGAAAATATTGGCAAACAACAGAAGCCTGGTATCCCCAATATATAAAGAACCCTCAAAACTCAACAGCAAAAATGATCACCCAAGGGGCAAAGGTCGTGAAGAAACTTCCTACTAAAAGGACATACGGATGGTAAATAAGCATAGGAAGAGATGTTCAAACATCAGGGAAACAAAACCCAAGGAGATATACCACAGCACACCATCAGAATGGTTAACAATGAACTCTTGAGGACATGGAGAAACTGCTAGTGAGAATGGGAAACCATTCAGCCACTTTGGAGAAGAGTTTGGCAGTTTTTAAAAGCACTAAACACACAACCAGCGAATGACCTAACAGTTGCACTGCTGCGCATTTATCCCAGAGAAATGATGATGCCTGGTGTTCTTGCAAAGCCTGTGCTCCAATGTCTTAGCACCTTTATCCATAACAGCCCCTACCTGGAATCAACCCAGGCGTCTTTTACCAAGCAAGGGGTTAAACCAGCCATGGTCCACCTGTATCATGGAACACTACTCAGCCGTAGAAAGGCACTGCTGACGCATTCAACAACCTGAATGAATCTCTGTCAAGTGGTGATACACAAGACAGCCAATCACATGATTCCATTTTAGTGACATTCTTGAAAGGACGAAACTCTAGCAACGGGCAACAGGTTAGTGGTTGCCAGGGGCTCAGGCAGTGACGGGGAGAGTGGGAAGTGGAACAGAAGGGGTCCCTGTAGTGATCGAAAGGGTCTCTCTTATCTTCCCTGTTATCATTCTCCATATCCTGGTTGTGACTTTTATGTGAAACTTTATGTCAACCTTAGGAGGACCTGGGTAGAGAGGACGCAGGACCTCGCTGTCCCTTACCACTGCATGGTAGGAGTCATCTCGCAATAAAAAATCTAATTGAAAAACAGAGAACCCCCAAAACCACGATGCCCAGGTCTCTCCCCAGATGAGTTACATCAGGCTCCTGGGGCAGGGGCATGGGCTGGGCGGCCTCGGCTGTGGGTCAGCATCTCTGTGGGATCATGAGGCACTAGTGCCTGAGCTACCGGCTGGGTGGCCGAGGGCCAGGGCTTCAAGCTTTCACCCTGCCAGGGCTCCACTTACGTTCAGGTTTTCTAAAATCAACTTGCAAACCAGTGTCCCAGGGGTATGGACTCTGGAAGCCAAGAGATTCTTTGGACTAGAGAAGAGCTTTCAGGGCGCTGGAACACAAGACCCAGAGCACCTTCCCGTGGGCAGCCGGCCGCCCCTGGCCACCCCAGGCTTGATCGGGCAGGCTCGCTGGGCAGGTCTTTATGGAGAGACACCACGTTTTGGAAGGCAGCCAAGAAGAATTCTTGGCCCCGGACTCACGCTCCGCGGCCATTTCTGGCCAAGGGAGCACCTAACCAGCCCGCCCAGGCTCAGTGGGCTGTACCCAGCCCAGGTCGCCAGGAGCCATCAACCCTGCACCTGGCTTTGCTCGTTCTGCTGGACTGAGGTGTGTGAGGGTGGTGTGTGTGGGGGTGTGCCAGCGAGGAAGCAGGGAAAACCCCTGCCCTCAGCTGTGAGGGGTTTAACTTTGGGGTGAACAGAAGGTAACAAAGGGACTGGATTTTGCAGCCATTGGGAACTGTGGATTGGAATTTCAGACTGCAGTGTTTTTGTTGCTTCTCACCGGCCCACACCAGGTCTGTCTCGGGTGACCACAAAGCAGTCTGAATTTACTCCTTAGGAGGCAGCTTGGGAACAGAGGTGGGAGGCCCCCCGAAGGCCATTATCCTTTGTGAGCCTCAGGAGGGAAGGGAAAGGACTGCTAGGTACAGCCCTGTGCTCATGATGATGATTCCATCAAGGACAGACTGCCAATGCCATGGTGGTCCCATAGATCGCATGACATTATAGTGATACTGTAGGCATCCTGTTGGTGTCGAGACCCACTGGTGTTCATGCAAGAACAGAATCGTCTGTGCGTTTCTCAGAGTGGGCCCCACTGTCAGTCACCACCGACTGCATGGACAAATAACTGATGGTGATGTTTCCCAGCTGACGATGCCCATGGACGTGGCATGGTAGCTGCATGTTCCTCACCCCACCTGTCCCTGCCCTGAGCACACACCTGGGGCTGTCTCCTCTCCTGTGAGGGGAAAGGCCACGGGACATGCCAGGGAGATGCCTCAGACTGGCTGAAGCCAAATTCCTTTACCCTGTACCCCCGAAGTCAGCTCAGGTGGCTATTCTGGGTGGAGAGTGACAAGCCAGGTAGGCGACTCTCCTTAGTACCCTTCCCACAATTGACGTCAGGGCAGCTCAGTGGGGACACTTCAGGCAAGGGTCCTCTGGGCAGCTTTTCACACTCACCTTCGACGACACCGCACACATTGGCATACACATCCAGTATTTTTTTCCTTCTGCTTTGGATCTAAAAAAAAAAAAAAGATAATGTGATTATGCAGAAAGGGACACAATAGTAGCGGAGAACCACGTCTCCTATCTTAGTACTGGCAGCAGGGGCTTTGCCCTGATAGCTGCACCAAGCCTTCAGGCAAAAACCAGTCCAAACAGCAGGAAGAAGGATTTCCTGAGGTTTTCCACAGAAACACCTTGGGTGCACACCAGGGGCGCTTCTTAGGTTAACTCAACACCTGCCATCGGTGTGTTTGAAAGCATGGTGGTGGGGATCCCCGGTTGGCCAGCACTCAGCAGCCAGCAGAGCTACGGGGGACTCCGGTTCCTGGAGCAGATAGCTCTTTGCAAGGACAGGTGCTGAGAGGCCCTGGCTGAAGAGTCCTGTGGCCACAGCCGTTCAACTCCTGCAGCAACCCTATAGGCCTCTGGGTCCCTGCAAGTGGGGCCCTTTAGGAAAGGTCACTGAACCAGGGCAGCCCAGACATGGTGTCCCCGCAGAACCAGGCCAGACCTGGGTCCCAGGAGGACATTTCACCAACAGGATCGACTAGACATAGCGTGTGCCCCAAACAGCACTTCAGGGTGGCTGGCTTGAGGTGGTAAAGCCCCGTGGACAACTTGTACTACTTATATATGAAAGATACAAGAAATGTCTTTTTTTAAATCTATGATCTATCATCATCATCATCATCATCTAATGAACCATTCCGTAGTTCCTGGATACTGAAATCTGCGGATGCTCAGGTCTCCTATATAAAATGGTGTAGTATTTGCATAGAGCCTGTGCACACCCTGCTACCTACTGTGTCCCTTTTAGATAACATAATACCTAATACGAGGTAAATGCTGTGTCAGTAGTTGTTATACTATATTGTTTTGGGAACCCTGATGTGGAAAACCATCTGTACATGTTTAGTACAGACCCAGGTTTTTTTTTGTTTGTTTGTTTTACTATTTCATACTGTGGTTGGTTGAATCTGTGAATGCAGAATCTGCAGATAAAGGACTGACTGTGACATGCACATTTTACATATGTGTATGTAGAAAATTATCTGGAGGATACATACCTGTATGTTTACAAAGGTTTTTTTTCTCTGTACTCTGGCTAAGTGATCTTAAATATTTTCTACAGCTTATTTCCATTTTCATCTATAAAACAATATAATAAAAGAAAAAACTTTTCTGTTTATGACTGTCTTGTCAACCTGTCACTCTGTCCAGTGTCCTGCCTTGGACACTGTCTCACAGGAACTTATGCGATAGGAAAGTCTTGGCTGGTGGCGAGGAGTCACTGCATAGGTACGTGGTGGGTGTGGGCAGAGTGCCACGTAGGTCAGAGCCTCACCCCGGCTGCCTTGTTGTTGGTGGCAGACTTCTCCCTGGCCAGGTGCACCAGCGACAGCAGGCACAGCTCCGGGGAGCCCTGCTTGTCAGGCGCCGGCTCCTCATCACTGTCCACGCTCCGGCTCAGCAGCTGCTCGTTCTCAGAGGAGGCGTCGTTCTCACTGGGGAAACAAGAGGGGTGCTTGTTAATAGTGTGGGGGGCCACCTCCCTGGCAGTCTCCTGGCAGTGGCCTGTGGCCCGGGTGTGGACAGTCGGGTGCAGGGAACTGCTCCTCATGCATTTATGATGCACCTGTGGGCTCCAGGTGAGGAGACCTGAGATGAGAAACTCATATCGGGGCCCCCTGCTCTTTTCCAGAGGAGTAGCTCCCATGTGGGGAGACCTGCAGGTGTCTGGGGGTAGGTGCAGCGGGAGCTCCAAGGGGCCGTGGGCTGCCATCGAGGGTGGTTCTTCAGGCCCTGTGACACACAGTGATGCCCATGAAGTTTTCACTGAATTCCTTCTAGATTCCATATTTAATCTCAGTAAGCACCGAGCTCAACCTTGCGTCTTCATGTGAAGCAGACAAGATTATGTGGCTGGCACTGAATCCGCGCAGGTTTTCAAGAATAACTGGAAACAGAGTGAGTGGGCCCGTGCCTGGGAAGGCCCCTCTTGGCTAGTGAGGCGGCCTGGCTGGCGGTGTGCATTGTGGGGCTCACAGCGGGCCCCGGAGGGTGGGCGGGTTGGGTGGTCAGATGGGACAGGCCTGGGCTCATGCCACTTTACTGTTCTTTGTCCAGGCCACACAGGACCCAGTGCTGGCCCTGGCAATCCAAATATATGAAAAACAATATTCTTTTATTGTAGGCTTCCTTTTTACTTCCTGTGGTTTGGCCGAAACCTTTTTTTTTTTTTCCTTTAAAAAGGATTGTATTTGCCAGTAACTGGGTTATAGCAATGAAGCCCATATGCAAACACAGCCTCAGAGCCAGGATAGTACAAATAAAATAAAAACAATGATGAAGGCCCCGCAGGCCTGCTTCCCCAGGGCCTTGCTGGCGTTGGCTGGCTCGTTCCCGTCTCCACCTGGGACCAAGCCAGAGGGAGAGGCCACTTCCCCTCTAGACCAGTCACCAAGCCCCATGAGTGGTGGGCAGGGACAAAAGCTCAGGGCCTTGTTGTCTGTTTTATAGTTTTCAGTTTTGGTTTTTATTTAATATTTATATATGAGACAGTATGTATTTTTTTCCAAGTGGGGTCCTCCAATTTCCCCCCCTATTTGGGTGAAACTCAAATCACAGGACTTGTCTCTGTCTTTTTGACTACTTCTTTTTTTTTTCTACTTTTGGGAACAAGAAATCTTGGAAGAACCCAAGGGGAGAGCTGAGACAAAACAGGACAACGCTGACGGAGAGAAGTGGTTCCACTCGGGACCCAGTGTGGAGGGGCTGGGCCTGGGGCTGTGCCACCAGGTGGCCAGAGCCTGCCCCAGCTCCACATACCTCTTGGTGGTCTTTGCCGGAGTCGCTGTCAGCTTCTCAAATTCATCCTTCTCAGAGAAAATCACCACGTTGTCTGCAGGGAAAGAGGAGTTGAGGGGAGGGGACATTAGCAAATGCCCCCGGCTCCCCACCTGGCCCCCCCCCTCCTCTTTGCCGAACTGCCTCGTGGCCATGATGCTGCCAGGGTGAGACAGTGTGGGCACCTCCTGTCGGAAGAGGCATGAGAGCAGGGGCAGCCAGCTGGGGAGCTGGGAGGAGGGTGGGCGCTGTCCACTGCAGCGTTGGACAGCACGCGTGCGCTGGCATGCCAACTGTGCGCACAGACCTGGGGCCTCCTTCTTCTCCTCGTCCCTGCTCACGGGGGCTTCCACGCTCTTCCCTGGGGGGCTGGTGCAGCAGGCTGGTTGGAGAGACGGGAGGCAGGGAGTCAGCAGCCAGGTCCCCCCACCGGCAAGGTGGCAGAGTATCCCAGAGGGAGGGGGAGGGACGCAGGGCGGTCACCTGGGGCTGAAGGCTTCGCCTTCATGATGTAGAACATGATGATGAGGACGATGGCGATGGCCATGATGAAGATGGTGGACATGGCAATGATCAGGGCGGTGGCCAGGTGTCCTTGGCCCGAAAGCTCTGCTGGCATCAGAGGAGAGCAACATGAATGTCCCTGCAGGCTCTGCTCCAGACCCACAGCCCTGCCAGATGACTCTACCACTGGGGTGCTCCAGGACAGAGTCAGAGAGCTCAGCCCTGCAAGTGCGCCGTGGCCACCAGCTGAGCACTGCCCAGCTGTTCCCCTTGCTGCTCTCAAGGAGGATGATCCACACTGCGGGGGGCAGGGTGCGGGTTTGCCTTGTCATTCCTGGGGTGCTTGCTCTTGGTTCTACTACTCTGGGAACCTGAGGGGAAGGTGGGGAAGAGGAGAAGCCCACCAACCAGAGTGTCTCAATGATGGCAAAATCCATGGAATTTCCAAGCAAAAATGAGGATTCAAGGGTCCACGCCTCGGGCTAGAGGTTGGATTCTGGTTTGGCCTCACACAGTTTCAACCTCGGTGTAAATAAGAGAGTCCCAGAGTCCAGGAGGGGGCTGGGCTGGCCCGCTGTCTCTTACCGATGCGGGGGATGGGATTTGCTCATTCCCCCTGATTAATGTAGTCTTGGACCTCTGGAATGATCTTTCTAATTCTCTAAAATAACCAAACAGGACCCCGCTTGTGAAGCAGGACCCAGGTGATCCACCACCCAAATAGGCAGGGAACAAGAATGTTAAGGCCCCGAGTCATTTGAGAGAGTCACCAAAGTGGAGAGCACTGGGTGGGCTCTGAGCCTCTGGTGTCATCCTGGGTGCACCTGCAACATCCCTGGGGGCCAGCTATGAACTTGCCCTTGAGTCCTGGTGGGAGCGAGAGGCTAAGTCCTAGTGGAGTCTCCCCACCTCACACTCTGATGGGTCCGTAGGCCGCTGCACCACGATGCTCTGTGGGCCCTTGAAGGGGCCCGAGCCTCACAGAGACCATCTGTCCATATGCGCAAATGATGGACAGCATTAAACCCCGGAGACAGAAAGTCTGAGCCAGCTGGAGGGCTTGCTCTGGGAGAAGTATTAGGCTTGGCTGGGTGCAGGGCTGAGGGAGAATCACATCTGCTTGTTGAAAATTAGAATTAAGATGTGAAGGTTGCTGGGGCTGTGGCTCAGTGGCAGAGCTGCTCGCCTAGCGCGTGTGAGGCCCTGGGTTCGGTCCTCAGCACCACATAAAAATAAATAAATAAATAAAGGCATTGTGTCTATCTACAACTAAAAAATATTAATAAAAAGATGTGAAGGTTGCCTGGTTTATATAAAACCCAGCAAGACCAAAGCACAAGAGGCATCACTGTTCCTGCTCAGGGCTGTCTGAGCACCTCACTGCTGCCCTGCCCAGCTGCCTCGACTGCCAGCACTTTCTACAGGTTCAGGACCCCCGTGGAGCAATCAATCTGACTCCTTGCAGAGATAATTACTAACTCCCAGCAACCGAGGGCTCCCAGTGTGATTCAGCCACATTAGGGAAGTGACTTCAGGTGTGGAAGCCACCGTTATCGTTACTACACAATTGCTTCTCTTCCGCTTCACTCTAGTTGAGTCCCCTCAATTCCAGGAGATCATGCCTGGGCGCTCCTTACCTTTGTGGGCATGTTGGAAGGGGGACAGGGTGCTGCCGCCAGAGGTACTGGGGGAGTTGGCAGAAACCCCCAAAGTGGCTCCCACACCTGCAAGGAGAACAGAGTCACCTCAGGTGATGTGGTAAAGCACCACCTCCAAAGGTTGAAAAAGAACACACTTGGCAATAAAGTGAATGGATCTGGAATTCTACACCATGAATGGGCTTCAGGAGCGGAGGCAGGGGAGGCGAAATTAAAATTTCTTAGTGTGTTTAATGATCCTTAAAGAGTTTTGGGACCTCTCAGGATTTTTGTTCTTTAAATAAAAAGACCCATGTAGCAGGGTGTGATGGTGCACTCCCGTAATCCCAGCGGCTCAGGAGGCTGAGGCAGGAGGATTGCAATTCAGTGAGGCTGTAAGCAAACTAGTGAAACCCTGTCTCAAAAAGAGGACTGGGAATGTGGCTCAGTGGTTAAGTGCCTGTGGGTTCAGTCCCTACGCAACTCTGGAAAACTAAACAGTGGGCAGGTGTTGGGAGGTTGTGCAGCTTCACCGACTCCGTTTTCCTGTGAGCTGAGGCAGTGCGTGGTGCAGACCATCAGCAGGAGCAAGCATGTGTATTAAGGCATTATTAGGCTGAAACAATACTTGATTAATTTTTTCAATTACAAAGAGCAGGGATGTGTTCTTAATACCTTTTCTAGTCACTAAAGTAATGTGTGCTCATGATTAAAAATCTGGAAAAAATAAGACCACGAGAAAGAAGTAAAAGAAGCACCCGCGGCTTCACTGTCTAATGCAGACTTGGGCTATTTCCCTTCAGAATGTTTCCAGGGACAAAATTTTCAAATAGTTCTGACTAAAGCATCCAAAACCAGGAACATTCTACAGGGAGGGTCTGTGCCTTCTCCCTCTAACCTGTGGTTCCCGAAAACCCCTCTCTGGAAAAAGTGTCACTAAGTGGATTAGGACGGAAGGTGCTTTTACTATCAGATCACAAAGGGACGAGTGTTTAGCCCAGAAAGGCGATGTCCTGATGAGAAATCTTCTTTTAGGGTCCGACTTGAGTCTTACAGTGAATAGATAATGTTGAGGACTGGGGTGCACAGCATGAGGCCCTGGGTAATCCCCAGCACTGGGAAAAAAGTCATGTTTTGATCATGCTTCACAATGAGCCTCCTTTTTTCCTCTTCTGTCTCCACTAGTTCTGGAGATATTCAGGAAGAGGATTTGCATCCTGAAAAGCAGCTCCTGAGTCCAGGACGAGACCACTGATCTCCCTGAAACCGATTCACTCGGTCCTCCCCCGCCCAGCCCCGTTGAGAGGAGCTGCCCGAATGCTGTACACAGGTCAGCTCGCACCACCTCACGTCTTTGGTGAGAAACAAGCTTCACCAGCAGGGCTGTTTTCTTTAAGAGAGAAAGTTCTGGAAGAAGCACAGGCTGCTCCGTGGGTGGTGTTTCTAAGCCTGCCACCTGGCTTGGGGGCAGCACTGCCGAGTTATCTCAGTGGCTACAGGAGAGGGGGCCACACATTTCTCAGTCCTCATTCCATGTCAGACAAAGAGGAGATTCAGCAAATAAAACAGGGTGGAGCCGTGCATGGTGGTTGGTGCACGCCAGCAATACTAGCATCTTGGGAGGTGGAGGCAGGAGGACTGCAAGTTCAAGATCAGCCTCAGCAACTTAGTAAGACCCTGTTTCAAAAGAAAAGAATAAAGAGTTGGGGATGTGGCTCAGTAGGTAGGCACTCCTGGGTTCAAGCCTGGTCCGTAGACTGAAAGGCAGTTCAAGGTGCGATTTTGTGCGTCTGTAAGATGCAGGGTGCCCAGAGTCTGAGCCTGTGGCTTAGGGCTGGGCTCTAAGAAATATCACCTGCCCACTTTGGGCAAGATGTTTCCCTGCCTTTTTGGAGGATAACTGCAAGCTTTTCTCCTGCCTCCTGGGCCCCCGACTTATGATGAGCTGTGCTTTTGAAATTTAGCCTCCAGGACTGGCCTCACAGCCAAAGTCCTATTAGGGGAGAAGCGGGAGGAAAGGGGTGTCCCTGACTGAGAGGTCTAAACAGCCACATGCACCTGTCAAATAAGAGAAATGCAGGCTGTGCCCCCTCCTCCCACACACCTCAGGGAGCTCCCTCTGAATGTCGGCAGTGCGTTCAGGGGGCCTGTCAGTCAGATGTCATCGGTGGATGAGGAAAACAAACAGGACGGGGAAAAGAAGTGATCTGCCAATTTGGTAAGGGGCTCAAGGGAGCTTAAGGGAAAAAAAAACATCCCTGGGCTATATCTCTGGATGTTAGTCATCTTTGTCTCTTCTTGTCCCTTCTTGCTGGGGCTTGCAGGTTCGAGGCGGTGACAGGGTTGGGAATGGGGACACAAATAAGCTCGGGCCTGTCATCTAGAGAGGGACAACGAAGGCAGCCAAGGCAGACAGACTCAGGAAATGCTTCCGCACCCGGTGGGGATGGTCACAATGACATGGCAGAACAACGAGTGCAGGCTGCTGCTTGTCGGCCAGCACCCACCTGCCCGGCCAGGGGCGCCTCACCATATGGACTGGACTTTCCCCAAACTGAGCTCCAGCTGCTGTCAACTGAGCAGCCCCAGACCACGTTGCTGTGGGGACAGGCTAGGTGCCCCTGGAGAAGCTCTGCGCTCAGGACATTTGAGCCCCAGTCGCGGCAGGAAGACAGACTGGCCCCTTTTTCTCGGGAGCTCAGTCTCTTGCTGTCAGGTCTGGAGCTGAAGGCCTACATCTGCCCCTGATTCAGAGTGACATGCCCTCAGCCCAACCCCACAAGTGCCCTCCCTGTGGCTCTGGTTCTCACCCCAGCCTTCCTGTTGGTGGCCCCAGGGCCTCTGGAGAATTGCCTCCAGGGGACTCTTCCCCTGAGGATGCAGCCGCAGATTCTGAGTCCTGTGCTGTGTGCGGGAGCAGCAGGACACATAGGTCACTAGGCAGGGACAGCAGAAGAGCAGCAAACTACTCCGTGACAATAGGCCCCTTCTCAGTGACTCTGGTCCCTTGCAGGGCAGGGTGCATAGAATAAGCCCATGACCAAGGACAACAGCTGGTAAGATCTGGCCCCAAAGCACGGACAGGGCGGAGTGGGTCGGGGCAGCACTGGGTGTGGTTTGAGGGAGGGCACCTGCAGGGCCTGGGAGGACTAAGTCAGGTCCCTGGTAATCACCCCTGGAGGTTTCTGTAGCTTTTAGGATGGTTAGAAAAAATCCCCAGAGGGAACTAACACCTGCTCTTCATTACCCCTGAACCCTTGAAATACATCCTAGAATCACAAACGTCTGCATGTTAAGTTTTTAACAACATATCCATCAATGTTGAGTAAATATGGTGTATAAAAGAGGTCTGGGAATAAACCCAGCACATTAAAACAGAGAATGGACCTTGGAGTCAGAGAGGCCTGGATTCTTCTCGTTCCTGTCACCACCTGTCACCAGCTGTGGGTCAACAGACAGACTGGTTGGTGGTGCTGGGTGGGTGTCGTCCCCACTGCCTGGATGGAGAGGGCACGCTATATGCAGGTTCTCTGGGGCAGCCTGTGGGAGCACCATACCCCTGCCTACGAGTTCTCCTGTGCCAGCTTCTGCTCTGCTCTAACGATGATTAACTCAGCAAATTCAAAGTATTTGGCATCTGGGAGGTTTCACTCCATTCCAAAGTGAGGCCTGCATTTCCAGGTCACTTGACCTCCTGGGAAGGATCATTAAATGGAAATATTTCTCTATGTGGCTGGCTGGCTTCCTTCCTTCATTTCTTTTTTGGGGGACGGTGTATTGAACCCAGAGTGCTTTTAGCATCCAGTCCTTTTTATTTTTCATTTTGAGACAGGTTTTTGCCTGGGGCTGAGGGTCTCACTAAGTTGCCCAGGCTGGCTTTGAACTTGCGATCCTCTGGCTTCGGCTCCTGAATGACTGAGGTTGCAAGTGGGTGCCACTGAGCCTGGCTTCATGTGGGTGTCTGTGGGGTGGTCAACTGTGCACCCATGTCCCCTTCCACGAGGACCCCGACTTTGAACATGACAAGGTGTTGGATGATCGTCAGTGAAAACTGCAGTCTCAGAAAATCGGTGGATTTCCACTGCAGGTCTGTACTAGGAAGCAAGAGAGTGGAGATGGATCTGTTTAGCTCACCTGAGTTCCAGGCAGGACCAACTGGGAAGCAGCCATGGGGTGGGCTGCAGGTGCACAGCCTCACCTTCCTCGGGGGACTTAGGAGTCATAAGCAGGAGGCTTAATGGAGTTAGGCCTGCACTCAAAGTGATGATAGGGTACAATGGGGCGTTTGAGGGCTGTTAATCCACACGAATTAGGAAGGTGCCAGTGTGTAGGAGAGACTGGCTGGTTCTCTACGGAGGGCAAACCGTTTAAAGAAAGGTTTGTTTACTGGAGCTGTCAGGAAGGTGCCCCACCGCTGCGGCAGGGGCGGAGCACCCCCTGGTGGTGGATCCTGGAACCATGGGCAGAATCCTCAGACCCGCCTAGCGGCACAAAGCGGGGTTACTAGGAACGCAGTCTCAGGCCCACCCCCGACCTGCTGCATCAGAATCCATCTCTGAAGAGGTGCCTGGCAATGCGTGGCCCGCTGATGTCTGAGAAGTGCTTTGCAGAAATGGCTGGACGTGGGTTCTCGGAGGACGGGCTTCCCTGCTGAGTTCTACAGCTCACATAAAGGACCTGGGGCCCTTAACCTGCACCCTGCTTCTCCAGCTTATTGAAAACGTGTTTTCGCTCGACCCAGGAGCATGTGGTGTCACAAGTGCTGCCCGTTTACAGATGAGGAAACTGAGGCACAGAGAAACCAAGCAACTTTCCCAGGAGTGGAAAGCCAATCCCAGTGCTGCATCTTTCCCACCTACTACACCCTGCCTCCACATAGAGCCTCTTCCACTGTCATCACAACATGGGTCCCTTGACATGATGGTCAACCACAGGCCTGAGTTCTCAGGATGGCGCGGGGTAGCGGGTGCAGAGAGAACGCTTGGTTTCTCCAGGTGCATCTCACATGGATTTACCAGGACACAGACCATGACTGGGTCTGGGGGAGGCCTGAGGCTTCCCCATCAGGCCCATCAAGAGTAGGAGGAGGAAGGCTTGGTTCCAAAGTTCTGGAGTATTCTGGGGGTGTCCTGAGTATTTTGGCCATGACCACTGCCTGGCTCAAGGCTGCCCCTGGAAGCTGTCCCACATGGGGCTTGCCCTGCCATTCAAAGGAGCAGACCTGGTTTAGGGAGAGACAGCATTTATATCTGCTTTGTGCTTCTAGTTTTCAAAGGATTTTGTATATATTTGTTATGGTTTGGATATGGGTGAGACAATACAAGAGGAGAAATGGGTTATGAGAACTTTGACCCAATCAGTGAATTAATGCTCTGATGGGGATTCACTGAGTTACCACTGAGTGGCAGGAGGGTGTGGCCGGAAGAGATGGGTCACCGGAGGCGTGCCTTTGGGGTATCTATTTTGTGTCTGGCAGTGGCGTCTCTCTATTTCTGATCATGTCCTTGGCTGTTTTCTTCCACCACACACTTCCTCCATGATGTTCTGCCTCACCTAAGGAATGGGGTCAGCCTTCTGTGAACTGAGACCTCTGAAGCCGTGAGCCTCCAAATAAAACTCTTCCTCCTCTAAAACTGTTCTTGTCGGGTGTTTTGGTCACAGCAGTGAATGTAGGTGTCAACGTACGGGTCAGCCCTGCTGGTACACTGAGCCAATATTGTTTTCTCAATTATTTGGTGGAGAAAATAGAAACAGAAGTGGCCACCAGGCACCCACAGTATCGCAGTCACTGAGCACCAGGCTCAGAGTTGGGCTCGGGGGTACATATATTTTAGTCAAGATGGAAAGCAGCACAGAAGCAGGACTGATCCAGATCCCAATTGCAACCCTTTGGTTATCCTGTCACTACTTGGCAATCCCAGAAACTGGAATGGTTTTATCTTCTTTTATAAGTGAATACGTGTCCCTCTTTCATTTCTCTGAGGGTGGTCACTGAGTGGACACCACAGTGCACCTGCGACCTCAGTGCTGGTGAGAGTTAACTCACTCCATCTGGGCGACATCCTGTGCGACAGGCACCTGAGCACCCTGTTTGACAAGTAAGGAAACCGAGGCGGAGGGAGGTTAAATGCTAGTTTAACTCAGGCAGTGAAGTCCCTGCTTCTCCAACTGATTAAAAACGTGTTTCGGTCCACCCAGACCTTCTGACTCAGAGGTGGACCCAGGAGCATGTGGTGTCACAGGTGCTGCAGGGGACTCTGAAGAGTCATGCCTGACTCGTCTGCCTGGCAGTCACTCCGAATGGAAAAGCAGTCGGGCTGCACAGTACGAAGGTGCACGTGGGACTCAGCCACGGAGTGCAGAGCACTGCGGGCACCCTGGCCCTGGGTCCTGTGCTGAGCAGGCCCGGCCCTGACTCAGGCTCAGTCCTGGGCAGCCTCTCCCCTGCAGTCGGCCACGACCCACGGGCTCCAGCAGTAGCTCCTCCATTGATTTCGAGTGCCCAGGATGCTCTCTCTCCTCAGCAGGGTTCAGGTAAATCAGACCAAGGCAGGTCTCAGGAAAAGGCCTTCGGATCGACAACCAGGGGCCGACCGTGTGGTCCTGACTCGGGAGGTTTCGTCAAATTCCTGGCTTTCCCGGGGTGGGACTGTGGGTGGCAGTCCTGTGACTTCCCGGGGCCATGGTCATAACCAGTCTCTACAGCACTGTGGTCTCTGAGCTCTGAGCAGGGGCCCTGGTCCTCACATTGAACCCCGTGCCGAGGAGGTTTAGACTGGAGATATAAAATCGCCATTTCACCTCCCCTCCAGGTCCCTGATCCAGGCAGGGCTCAGTCCACCATGTCTGTCAGGCCTGACATCTAGCCGGCTGCACCTTCCCGTTGACCAGACCGGCAGGCAGAGGCCTGATGACTTGTCCAAGGTCAACTCCAGGGAGAGCTCATAGGCAGCCTGGACTGGAGGTGTTCTTTTTCTTTTCTGGGGGGAGGGGGTACCAGGGATTGAACTCAGGGGCACTCAACCACTGAGCCACATCCCCAGTCCTAGTTCATATTTTATTTAGAGACGGGGTCTCACTGAGTTGCTTAGCACCTCGCTGTTGCTGAGCCTGGCTTTGCACTTGCCATCCTCCTGCCTCAGCCTCCTGAGCCACTGGGATCACAGGTGTGCACCATTCCCCCCGGCCACAGACTAGAGGCTTCTATGTTGGCTCTCTCCAGTGATGGATTCTAAGAACCAACCTCGGGAGGCTGGGGTGTAGCTCAGTGGTAGAGTACCTGCCTTTGGTGCCCTGGAAACTGGTTGTCTGTTGAACAATTAGGGGCTGGCAGCAGGGAGGGTTATGCACTCCTTTTCAAGATCTCCAGGACTCAGGGGACTCTGACGGCTTTCTCCTTGTGACAGTCCTCACTGTTGGAGGGAGAGAGCTGCTCCGGCCCAGACTCTGTTGGCTTCTCAGGCTGGCATTTAGGGGAGGCTCTGTGCCCGTGGAAGGCTTTTCCTGGGTCGCACAGGCAAAGAGCCTCTTCTAGTAAGCTGTGTGCGCCTGGCCAATTCCCGCATGCAGACTTCATCCTAGAACTTTCTGGTGTTGAATCGGTTTCCATTCTTCTAAAGAAGACGCATTAATTAGCCCTGGCAGCTGAGTGGCCCGGGGCCAAGCCCACAGCTTAGGGCCCCTGGGCCTTTTGTTGGTGAATTCATTGACATATGTCGGGAAGGAAGATCAGCTTTAAGGAGATGCACTTCTATTAGTGCCAGGCTCACTTACTTAAGAAACTTGGAAGGGAGGAAGGTCTGTGCCGGCAGGGTGCCCAGTGCTCTGGCTTTGGGCAGCAGGGGGGAGGGCATGGAGCGCCCCTGTTCTGCACCCCTGCCCTCCCTCCTCACAGCCTTTGAAAGGCGCAGCCCTGATTCTGTTAGACTACGAGAAAGATCATGAGGAAGTGGGGGTGGGCGGGCTTCAGCAAGGAGAGGCAGGGTTCCAGGGTGGCCTCCTTGTCCCTCTAGAACAGCATGGACTTGAGGGTCACCCATGTACCCCGTTCCCTCCCAGCTGCCCTACGTTCTCTCTCCCTCAGTGGCCCCCAGACCACAAACCCAAGAGGCCCACAATATACTCCTCTGAACAGAGGGCCCCGGCCCTTTCTCAGGAGTGAAAGACCAGAAGGAGATCAGGAAAGGACGAGGCGGGAAAGGTGTCTAAACCCACGAGCTGATGGTTTATATGAGCTTTCTGTCATCTTTTCCACTAATTGTGGTCATTTCTATAGATTTAAGGCCTCATGTGTTTATATGTGTGTGTGTGTGTGTGTACATGCACACACACTTATGAGAACTTAAAATTGCCTAGCACCTTGCAGTAGGTCTCAAAATATCCTTGCATTTGTGATCTCACTGGTTTTTCCAATAATCACATAGATGGAGGGGTCAGCGTTCAGTACTCGCCATATTACACATGAGAACGTCAGGGCTCACAGAGGTGAGGTGCCTGGTACTACAGCCCGGGCTTCTGCTTCAAACTCTGTCCTCCATAGCAAACTCCCCGCCTTTGATCTTGCCTTTTGCTCTAGTTTATCTTATCTGGTGCTGGGATGGGCTTCTTTCTGCCAGCCCCGGGAGTCAAAGACAGGCATGCTGAACAAACAGGGTTCTGACGGACGGGCAGCACACTCACATTCCTTGGTGTTGGGGGGAGCCAGCAGGCAGGAGTAGCAGACCATGCCGTAGATGTTCCTGGGTCTGTTTTCCAACATGTAGTAGCTGCAGGAGGCAAGACAAGACAAAGCAAGCCAGGTGAGGTGGGCACACCGAGCAGGCACTGACCACAACAGACCGGGGCCTCTTGGCAGGCCTGTGATCAAAGCCGGAAATGAGACAGCACAGTGGGAACCGGGAGCCCTGCTGCACCAGCAGCCCTTTAAAAATACATATTTATTTAGGTGTTAGCGGCCCTTTTCGCCTACTGAGTTTCCTTGGGGGTTTGTAGCATGTCTTGAAATGGTAGATTCTTTTTCTGATATTGGGCCAGTCTGGGCCTTTCTTCTCATCTCTGCCTCCTTTTAGTTCCTTTTCTGAGGGATTTGGTGTGTGGGTGTGTGTGTGCGCGTGCGCGTGAGATCACCATTTTCAATCAACATCATCCACCAGAAATATCCATGTGTCCCCCCTGGTGGGCCCTGGTGTTTCACCTCGGGTTAGATGTCCATGGAGGAGGGACACCCCCCAGCGGGTTCCCTTCTCCGAGCCTGTAGCCTGGTGGGATTGTTAGCAAAAGTGTCTCTGAGTCCCTGGAACGCCTGGAAGTCCCAGAGTACCCAAGTCACTGCTGAATGCCACTGAGTGGAGACGGCCAGCAGAGGATGGCTGTTGGAGACAGAAGGACAGCTGCGTTGTCCAGGCAGATCAATGCAGATGGCTTTATGCAACCAGGTCACAATACAACCAACCGCGCTTGGCCCCAAACACCTAGGCAGCTGCAGGTGTTCACCCTGGGGTCGCACAGACTCCTAGACTAGGACGTTATCCACAGTGACACTGCTTAACATCCTTCATCCTCAAATGATGCTCTGGTCACTACACCAGCCCCGTGACCACACTGACGGGCAGAGGTCCTCCTGCCACTGTGGCCTGTTGGCCGTGCAGGACTCCACCCTTCTGCCTCCCCGCCTCCCGCTAACACCCGGACAAGCTGGCACTGCCCTCTCCTCCCGGGCACCCCGGCTTCTTTCCCCTGCAGCCCTGGCTCTCGCCGTGGCCTGCGCCTGTGTTCCATAAACACTCCGGGGTGATCACGGAGCCGTTTATCACATTGTGAGAAGTTGATTAAATAAAGTGAGCAGTTGCCAACACTTTCCCTTATTGCAATTCGAGAGATGAAAGATCGCTCTCTGCTACTGGGTTTTTCAATGGTTGTCTCCTAATCTCTTTTTTATTAGCTTTGCACCACGAGGGCCCCCACAGATGGCTGTGGTTAGTGACACAGAGTACAGGAGGGCCGGGGCAGGGGGAGTCTGGGCTCTGGCCTTCATGAGCTTGGACCATCACCAGAATCATCATGGGCATAATTGCCTGCCTTCCTCAACGCCTTTCATCCTCAGGTCCCTGAGTGTCTTGTAAACATTAATTAACTGATCTCCAAACACTCCTCTGAGAAGCCACAGTGGCCAGCCTTGCAGTTAAGCCTTGTGGAAGAAGCTTCTTCGCAACACATCCTGTGCCCTCTCTGGAGGCCATCTTTGTGAAGCAGGGCACTGTGGGGACCCACACTGCATCTGCCCAGGGTTTCCTCTCTGCCATGTGGCCTCATGAAGGTGACAGGTGCCAGGTCGGCCAGGCAGCCCCCCCTGCAGCTTTCCAATACCAGGTCCAGCGTGCCACTTCTGGGAAACACCTGTTGGGACTTCCCCCTCTGCCTCTTCCTCCCTCTCAGGGTTGGGGGCAGGAGGCCAGCCTTGTTCACATTTGCATTTCTGGCACTTGTGCTAGGTACTATATCGGAAGGACAAGTTAATCAATGACACCCAGTTCTTCTCCGCAGAAGTTCCCAGTGCTGAGTTAAACAGAAGCCCCCAAGAATGTTCCTGAGCTCTCCTCCCTTTCTGAGCAGGAGAACCACAGCCTTGCCCATCCTGTTACGTGCTGTTCAGGGCTCAGTCTTAGATAAAGCTCCAGAATCACAAAGGGAGGTGGGGCATGCACTGGGGCACTTGCAATTTGAGCATCTAGGGAGGGGCTCCATGCGCTGTGGCCATCTTCAGGGTATGTGTTGGGGTTGGGGTTCCTTTCTCATTCCCACGGGGCTCTGAATGGCTCTATGCTCCTGCACTGACCCTGAACGTGCATTTGGACCCATCTGTGGGATGCTGTAAGTAATTTAGTGAAGGAGCCATCTTGAAAGCCTGTGATATTTTGAAACATAGGTTGGCTCCAGGAAACTGTCAGAAAGCTCCACTGCTTTACCCGGCACAAGAGTTAAGTACCTTGTGGCCAGGCGCAGTGGCACACGCCTCTAATCTGAGTGGCTGGGGAGGCCAAGACAGGAGGATGGCAAGTTCAAAGCCAGCCTCAGCATCGGTGAGGTGCTAAGCAACTCAGTGAGACCCTGTCTCTAAATAAAATACAAAATAGGGCTGGGGATGTGGCTCAGTGAAAAGTTTCTGTAAAAGATCTGGGGTTCCTGGCTTAGTTGTACCACTAACTGACTGGAAGACAGTCTCTAAACTACTCATATGCAAATGAAAAGGTTGTTTTCACATGTAGCACATGTATACACTTTTGAGCCTATGAAGCAAATGACTCAATGATTAAGTAATGAATCTTTCACAGGTTGGGTGGTCTTTGACCACCTGATCAATCAAAGATCATTAAAACAGTATTTCTGATGAGAGAGCACCATGATTTGGGGTGGGGGTGGGGGGCAGTGCTGAGGATAGAACCCAAGGCTGCACACATGCTAGGCAAGTGCTCTGCCTCTTAGCTAGATTCCTAGCCCACCATGTAAGTTTTGGCATATTAACTTGGAAAGAGTTCAAATAATTGGATGACAGTACTCTTAACTCCTTTCACTGCTATTTGCTAGTATGTAAATGTATGAAAAAAGATTTCTCAACATTTATATCTATAAAAACATGAACAGAAATGATAATGAATTCCTGTCTCATTTTAGAATCAAGTGTAACAGAATAGCAAGTCGTTTGAAGACAAAGCATTACAATAAAATGTATTAAAAGATGCATTTCCACTAAAATCTTATTAAGTATAGCCAGGATATGGTGGTGCATGCCTGGAATTCCAGCTACTCAAGAGGCTGAGAGGCAAAAGGATCACAACTTTGAGGCCAGCCTGGGCAACTTAGACTCTGTCTGGAAAAAAAAAA